TTTACAGTCGTTTGAAAGTCTTTGGCTACAATTTAACAAATTAAACGAAAACATGAAGGAGAATTATTCCACTGCATGTACCACCTTAAATCATGTTAATGAAGTTTGCGGCAGTACAACTAATGATATTCTCAATAACTGTCAAAAGGCTGTGGAAAGGAGTGAAACTCTGCAACAGGAAATTCAGAATGGTATAGATATACTCAAAAACGATGTTGTATCTAGCACGGAAAAGGTAACATTTAACTTTCATTAATTTTCAAATTATTAAATACTTAAAATAATATGAATAAGATAATACACTAATTCTATATCTTTTATTCTATCAGAATTGGACGTTAGCAGAGCAAATTGTAGAACATAGCTGTAATTTAACTGATGAACTTCAAACTGACTTAAATAATCACTGCGATGTACTAGCACGGAATGCACTACATGTCGAAAATAATATGACACAAATGAAACAAAAATTAAAGACAGATAATTCTTCTTCTATTGAATCTATCAAAGTAAATCTATTTTGTGTATATATTAAAATTATTTTGTACATATATATATATATACATATATATATACATATATAGATAATATATATATCTAATTGTTTTCCTAACAGAATATGTATGATACACTAGTACAAAGGAGTCATGATCACAAAAAGCTTGCAGAAGAATTAAAAGAGAAAAATCTGCAAATGTCCATAGAACTGAATGATAAGCTTGCAAGTAGAAGTAAACATTCGTCTGACTGGAATGACAAAACACTTACAGAAATGCATTCAATTCAAGGAAAAATTAGCAAATTCCTTGAGGATTTACGGCATGACACGCCTACAGGTAAATTTCTCATTTTTATACTTATATATAAATGGAGAGAGAGGGGGGGGGGGGGTAAAAAAATGTCGATTTTCGCCCTCAAGTTATATTTGAATAGACCTCGAAAAATCATTATTTAGATCATTGAAAAAGGAAACAGTTATTTGTCTAACAAGTCATGAGAAAATTATTAGAATGGCTTAAATGAAATTAATATTGTCAATTTTGACTATATTTGTGATACTTTTGACAAAAATAAAGAATTATTAAGCTGATCATATTAAACTGATTAATCAAGAGTCGGGTGATTTTGAATTTGTAATTATGAAAGAATTTGTACAGAGTGAATAAAAAGTGTGGAGAAATCTCGAAAAATATGAAAGATATCGAAAAATTTTTTAGTATTTTATATTTTAAATTTTGTGAGAAAAAACGAGAGTTTTATTGTAGTCCAGTGCAGCAACAAAAAACAAACTTAAAAATTCATTTAATATTTCTTTTTAGGTTTAACACCGGCAAGAAAAGAATATCAATATCCACGACACCTTACTGCAACTTCGCCACACGAACGAATTATTCAGAGATTTAGAGAAACAAGAAATTATCTCGACTATTCCGATGATGAGGTAAATATAAATTCAGAAATTGCATATTGCTAGAGAATAAATTGTAGGAATTATTGAAAATATATAAATATATATTATGTATTTACAGGACACAATATTGGTCAATAATAACTCGCCGAAGAAGAAATGTCCAAATGCAAATTAAATGCTTCAACTGGTAATCAGTTGCATTTTATATTTAACAATAAGAATTATAAGAATTATATATACATTAGGTCTATATAAGGATATTTTCTTACAATGATAGAATGTAATTAATGGAATTCTAAATAAATCTTCGACAGGAAATAATTCACACAAATCTATTGCAATATATTATATAAAGATATCGATTTATTCGTAAATTAGTATGTAAGTTATATTAACACATGAATTGACTGTACAATTATTTTTATAGTAAACATAAATAAACATTGTAAGTATTCCGATTGAATTTAATAACCAATTTTATGATCTTTTTTCCGACTGGAGAAAAAAATTGAAACTTTGCAAACTTATTGTCTTTATAATTTATATATACAATATATATACATATGCTATCCAATAATCAATTACAGCCACTTGCACTTAATACATGAAGAAATTCTCGAGAAATTTTAACCGTTTATTATACCGTTAGGGAAAAAAAATTACTACAAAAATATATAATACAAAAAATAAATTTTTTGTATTTATGTACAGAATTATAAGCATTAAAATTATATACTGTGAACGGAAAATATCCATTTTATTTATGGTGTAGGTGTGAACGAAAGATTCATTGGCGATAGTTGACTTCCAGGTGTTGCATCCGTTCGCGCTCTTTGCTCAATCACAGGATCCGTTTCATTCATATCATCCACCTAGAAAAATAACGAAATTTAATTGTTTTGCTAATTACTATTAAATAATATTACTTACCACCATAGAAGTTTCTTCTACTTTCACTCTTTTTTCAGCGATAACTCGTAATAGCACCTTTGCTTCCTCTTTTGTTTCATCAAACTGAAGGCACTTTTGTGCATAGTGATTAGCTTGATCCAATTGTTCCTTCTTTAAGTGATATTGTGTGAGATATTTATATGCATGACTCAGTTCTGTTCTATCGACACTTCGAAATTCGTCCATTACAAAATCTGCATAAGCTGCCGCTGCATGATCGTGTTCTCCTAATTTCTCATATAGTCTGTAGCAAAACAAAAAATATACATATATTATTTCTATCATTTCGATACTACATATCAGATACATACGTTGCTAATTTTAAGAGTGCCATTCCTTCTATATCGCCTACATTGCATGCCTTGTAATAACATTTGAGTGCATCTTGAATTTTATCTTGCTTTTCATATGCTTCGCCCAAGGCTAGAACCATCCTACTATCATGGGGCCTTAAAAGCTGAGCTTGCTTATAATAATACAATCCATAAAATGGCATTTTCAAGATTTCGTATGTCTGACCCAAACCATACCATGCTCTATAGTCTCGTCTGTTCACCTCTAGCAAGTTGAAAAATATAAATGAAAAATGTGATATGTTGTGGATGCAAACAAAAATTGTGCAAAGAATTTACCAATTGCCTGTCTATAACTATGAATAGCACCATTGGTATTTTTCATTTCCATAAATTCATGACCTAACAATGTCCAAGCTGATAAATATTGAGGATTCATTTTTAATGCTCTATGAAAATACATCACTGCTTTTTGATGATCAGCTCTTAAACTGTAATAATTTCCTAAAAGAGACACCATTTTTTAAATATTTCTTAAAAGTATATTTTCCTTAAATATGAAATTATGCTTTTCAAAGAGATGCACAATTAATACGTACCAACTATACAACAAGTCTCTAATCTGTATTTATCTATCTCTGTAGCCCTGTGTGCTAAATCTGCTAATTCAACTTTCATTTCTTTCACATAAAGTAAATTCGAATATGTATCCATGTTATCAAGGCAATATGGATCTTCATCTATTATTCTTTTGAAAGTTTCTATTGCATTATCAACATCTAAAATAAAAAATGTTTTTATGACATAATATTAAAGCAACTTATTGCTTATTATTATAGAAGATATTTAAAAGAAAATATATTTCAAATAATTATGAATATGTGCGATAGATTTTACTAAATTCTAAAATCAATTTATATAATCAAGAAAGAAAATTAACTCAAAATATTTCAATAAAGATTATAAACAGTTGTTTATTCTAAATATTGAATTCGCTAACTCTTGCCTCTTCTATAATGCACTGCAATTGCAGTTTGAGCTAAAACATAACCATTTTTCTGAAAACCCATCGATTGCAATTGACAATATAATGCTAAGCCTTCATCTATGAGCTGTAATTCTAAGTACATGTGTGCCATAAAGAAATATTTCATCCAATGATTAGGCAGGCATAAGCTCTCCAGCTTCTCCCTGTCTGTGATTAACGCAGCCAGTTCTAACCATGCACCCCAATGCATAGGCTCCTTATGAATAGATTCCACTAGAACGTCTGTAGCTTCTCTAATGAGTTGCAGCTTCTTCAATGTTACTCCAAAAAGATATAATCCATAACCATCTAGTTTTGATGCCAAATGATCTGACCTTAGATCAGCACAAAGGTATTTTAGAGTCTCGTTCTTCAGAGGATCTGGCGGTACATCCGTCATGTCGTCTATCTTCTTTTTCTCCCCTGATAAATAACGTGAATACAAATGTAAAAATCTAATCTTAGGACTTACACAGTCCATTGTGAAATAAGCCGCTCTATCGTATTCTTTTAGATCAAAGTATGTTTTAGCTAAGGTATAAATATCCTCTGCTTCGCTGACCTCTGGTACCTTGGCATGTATAGTCAAATCATCTATATCTACATTTTTCAAAGAATAATTTAATTCCGCTAACCTGTAACAAACAGACATAAGCGTGGAATCCTAAAAGTGTACACATAAAGGGACTGTAATACATTTATTCAAGCAAAAATTCACCATTTGGTAGTGTGTAGCAAACCGCGCTGGGAGCATTCGCGTATCGCATGCAGAAGATCTGATTTAACCTCTTTAAGATTGAACTTCACGGATTCCTGCATTTTGCTCAGATTAATTGATTCTTCTACGTTATGTCACTTACAAAAATAACAGCATTTAATGTTACACAGCCAGAAATAAATTCTTGTTTAATTAATCTACATTTCTTGATGTGACTTGCTCGTATGCCGGCATATTTGTTGACAATCATATATACATACACATGTCACATATACCTCCATATCCACATAATCCAACACAAATATTCGTGCATGGAACCTACTAAAGGCTGCTACATATAAAACTATTTAAATGCATAAACAAAAAAATAGTATATTATTTTTGCTAAATAACAAGATAATATTTAGCAAAATATGTATTGGATATTTCATCGACCAAGAAAGACTTTTGCGCTAAATTGTTGTAGTTGGAGATTTTCATGAGCACCTGCCTTTTCCAAATGACGCATTTTGTCGCATTTTGTAAATATGCGGATGTGGACTGTCGACATGTGGAGTAATACAAAGAAATATATTCTGAATTATAAGAAAAAAAATATTTAATAAAGAATATAATTCAAATATAATGTCTACGTATCGTCTGATTTCATGGGTAAGATAATTATAAATAAAATATCCAAACTCTTGTTCTGTCATTTAACGAGAACTTCTGTCGTGCATGTACATACACACATCGCGAGATTGAATTTTCTGAATATATGTATATGCTGAGTAAAAACAAAAATTTCAACTTTCAAAATATAATTCTATAGCAGATTTATAAAGAATTCGAAAAATCTTATGAGCATATATATCTTTTGTAGGGTGCAAATTCCCATGGTCAACTTGGACAAGGTTTATTATCCGAGCAATTTGTTCTACCTCAAGAAGTTGATTTATCCAGATGTCCCTTGAAGCCAGAACTCATCAGGAAAATTGTCGGTGGTGCTGGACACACACTGATTTTAGACACGAATGGTCATGTTTATTCCTGTGGTTTGAACAACAAAGGACAAGCTGGAAACATCGAGCAAGAAAATATTCTGATATTTCAAAGGATATGTGCTCTTGAACATGAAGTAGTGATTGATGTCTGCTGTGGATGGGACAGTTCCATGGCATTAACAAGGAATGGCGAGTTATATGTATGGGGTTCGAATCGTTATGGACAATTAGGTTTGGATCCTTCAGTTTTTCCTTCAATACCTCATCCCCGCAAAATTTCATTTGGCGAGAAAATAAAGAATATTTCAATGGGTCTGCGACACACCGCCGTAGTAACAGAGAATAATGAACTCTATGTTTGTGGATCAAATAATAGAGGGCAATTGGGTTTGATTAATCCAGAAACCATGAAGCCTTACACTCTTCTTGATGCATTCATCAAAGGTATATAACAAATCATACTTTGAATAATTTTTATTCTGTAAAAATGAATGTATAAATTAAAAAATTCTAAAGATATTAAATTTCCTCGAATATCTATTAATATATTTTTTTATTAATTTTTATATTATTTTATAGTGTATTTATAGCTTCAATATTTACTTATCACTCTTATAGGCTGAATTTTATATCATTTATTTTATCACTTGTAACTTAAATAGTCGCACTGACAACCGTTTTATTGAAAATACATTTCATTATAAAAAAAATGAAAATATTTCCACTTAATTAAAACACAGGTGAACAGTTGCAGAACGGACAATGCAAGGAAACGTCGAAAATGTTACCTGTGGTCAGTATCATACTATAGTCCTAACAAAAAAGCAAACATATAATATATATGTCTTTGGTGATAACAAGCACGGACAGCTGGGATTTTTTCCTAAAACATCTTCTGAAACACGATTATCGCAACCTTTATGTATTCCGTTCTCTGGCATACAACATGATACACCAATTCATATTCATACAGGCTGGAGTCACATAAATATCTTGAGCAGTAAGTAAATTAAATTCACTTTGTTTTCGCTACATATATTAAACCATTCATATATACATATTAAAATATACATATAATTTCAGATGGTATTATTTTTTCGTGGGGAAGAAATGACTATGGTCAATTAGGTCGTTCTTTATTGAAATCACAAAATGGAATTTCTACGGAAGAAAGACTTCAGTGTATAGAAAATATCCCGAAAATCATTCAACTTTCAGTTGGATCGGAGCATAATGTTGCCTTAACCGGTAAATTATTATATGCGATAAAAATATACAAATTTTAAAGAAATAAAAGACGTGTCAAATAATTACAATTTTATGTAACTGGGAATTTATTTTATTATATATATCATGATAAATAATTTAATTTTACAGATAATGGAGCAGTGCTGTGCTGGGGCTGGAACGAGCATGGAAACTGTGGTAACGGAAAAACGGAGAATGTTTTACGGCCGGAATTTCTTCCAATGCCATCTAATTCCGTTGTCATTCTCGCGGGTACTGGCGCAGGACATTCATTCGCTGTGCTAAAAGACACTAGCTAATTGCGATATTATATTATTGCAAATTTGTTATTTATTAAATATTAAATCGTGTACCTGCAATAAAGTATTTTTATATCTTGACGTTGCTGGTCAATTCGTTATTTTATTGCAGTATTATAAAGCAAAGATAAGTAAAATCAATAATGTAAAATTCCTTATTCATCTTCCATATTTTATATACAGTGGATATAACGTAAGTTTCATTCTCTAAAGATTAAATATAAATAATGAATAAAAACGATATTTTTACATGATTTAACTGTTAGTTTCATTTTTCTAATATAAAAATTAGGAGCTAATTGTTCCATTTTCGGGTAAACTATATGGTAATTTATCTACTACTGGATAAACAAAAGAATAACAGCATAAGAGAGTAAGACTGAGCTACAGTTTACCAAAAGATGAAATAACCCAACCTAAATGTAAATGCATAAAAGCGATCTGATTTTGTTATGTAGATAAAACAGAAGTTGTGAAATGTACAAATCTTTATCAAGAGAATAATAATAATAATGATTGTATTACCGCGTAATAGAACATAAGAAAAGTTATAATAAATAGGTCAGATAGAACCATCTTTCATAAACAATCATAAATTCGTAATCAACCCCCTGCATAGTTAGCCCGAAGGCAGTATAGAAAATACACGTATAACTTCACCTGCGGCAATTTACCACCTGTCAGTAGGCAACTGCCAACGAAGCGTATTGGAAAGGAAACAACAGACATTTGTTTCTTTCGCTTCGCGAGATAATCCTGCGGCAAAGAAATCTGACGTAAAATAATTCGTTGAATTATTTTTTAAAGAACACTTAATAAAAAGATGCTTCGATCACGTTCTCAAAGCAGCTTGTAGTAAGTTAAACCGAAACCATACGATTTATTTTTAATTTTATGTCGCCATTTGACATATCATAAACAAATCATAAACAAACCTTAAATTAAATATCTATTTTTTTATTAGTGAACAAGAAGCGAAGTTTGTACAAGATCGCATAACTGGCGTGGAAAAACACTTCGCCGAACTGTGCTCAATATTCGCGGCGTTCACCAGAAAAGCTGCCAGGTGCTCTTCCGACCAACAAACCATATTGATTATTTTTCCTTAGTGACATATTCTTATTCTCTATTGTTTTGACAACGTTTTTGTGCTCCGTTTCGTTCACTATTTACTAATTAATTTTTTCAGATTGCGTGATAAAAGCGATGAGGTGGCTAAAACAATACAAACTTACGCAGATTCTGAAGTCGTAAATCGATCAATGAGTGCTGGACTAGCGAATTTTTCTGCAACATTATCAGTCATCGGTGATTATAGGTAAAACGTAAAACTAGTTTTTTGTTTCAAATAATTACGTTGTCTTTGTAATGCATAAAATGCTAACTTTTTTGTAAATAATTTTTATATTTAATATTGACATATATAACTAAAAAATAAAAAATTATAGCATTGCTATTTTCATTAATAACAAAATTTATAAAGATCTTTTTTTCTATTAAATCATAGCTTTTTATTCCTCGACTGCGAAAAATTATTAGAAGGTTTTTAAATAATCTTTTAAATAATCTTCATTTGATTTACCTGTGCTATTTTAATTACATTATGTTTTATTTTTTACTTCAATATTATTTTGATTTATACTTTTGCTTTTAAAATTATTAATATTGATCTGCTCTACAGAGATGCTGAAGTACAAAGATTGGATTCCAAAGTGATTGTACCTCTTTCGCAATACGCAATGATTTGCAAACATGCCCGCGATGATGTAAAAAACGCATTTGCAGCACGCGACAGAGAACTTACAAGACGAAGACATTTGGACAAAGTTCGAGAAAGAAATCCCAGAAATCGTCAAATGATAGTATCCTTATAATTCAAATTTCATTTCAACATCAGTTAATTTTAATTATAACTTAATTAATTCTATGCCTTTCGTAACAATAAAGCAAAACGTTAAATTAGTAATTAAGAACAAGATATTAATATTAATAAAATAATTTTAAAGTGATATAGTTATAGTTTATCGTTTTAAGAATATCTCGTTATCTTATGTTATAAATATTTAACTGAAAAAGAATATCAGTCTCAAGCTGAATCAGAGCTGACGAAAGCGTCCATCGAAGTATCCCGAGTTATAAAAGGACTGGAGGAACAAATTGACTCATTCGAACGACGAAAGTTGCACGATTTGAAGTCCGTACTTTTAGATTTTGTCACTGTTGAACTGAGTTTTCATACAAAAGCCCTTGAGCTTCTGACCAAAGCATATCAAGATGTTGCAGCTATTGACGAAGTTAAAGATATTGAGGTAAGATAGAAGATCATTCCAATTTTTTTCTAAATTGTGTCTCTGGTTAAAGTTAAGAAAGAATTATATTTATAAAATATAGTGGTCAATATTGTTTATCCTTTAACATGCAGGACTTTCAAAACGCGAGAGGAGAAATGAACGGGGTAAACTTGCTTTAAATTGATATTTGTTATTATGATTTAATGAGAAAGACTTGACATTTCAATATTAACTTTACTGTTAAATGCTGATGCAATTTTGTAATCATTATTCAAATAGAAGTATTACTTCTGTATTTAGGAATTTCGAGACACATTACGAGTTCCCGATTCTGTTGCAAGATTAGACACGGTGGGCAGAACTTCATTTCGACAGGCTTACTCGTTAACGAACTTAGCCACTCGATTCGCATCTTCGCCCTCGGCGTCACAGAAATTAGCTAATCGAGGAACCGAATCTGCTGTAAGTACAAAATTTGAATACATATCGCTCTGTAATTTTTATTTTTGGATCCTAATATATATGGCAAATTTTAGGATTCTATACGAACTGCGTACACAAACTCTTCCGAGTCGGTTCAAGTTGAAGAATATCCAGACAGCACAGAGGAAACGGAATCAGAATCAATTCGAGAGAAGCCTGTGAGAACTAGGCAGAAATCTATGTAATTTCAATCATCTTTTTAATATTTTGTATTTTTATCTTTTTAGAAAAGAGTGTCAAAACACGCTGGATACAAAGTAAAGAAACGCTTCATTCTCAGACCCATCCCAGCAATTCCTACATGTCAGAAGTCTTTAATGTCATCTATAATATATCGCATACCTTACAGATTGAATCAAACAAAGTAAACATTTTCTTATACTTGCATAATGCTTATATGTATTAATTTAAGCGTCGCTGTAGATACGCAACTTTAAAAAAATAAGAGAAACTGTATCAAAATAAAGATAATATATAAGATCAATCCGCATTCCACTAAAGTTGAATAATCTAATTGTTATATTGATTTAGTCGATATCTCAGTTATCTGAAACGAGAATTGAAATAATATCAAAATATATTTCTAAAAAAGTGTAAGTTTATTTTCTGTATTGTAACAAAAGGATGGATATCTCACTATCGGTATACATTTTTTTTCCATGACAATAAAGTATAGCGATACTTTAGATAAGTCGTTACTTGTAGATGAGTGCATTGAAGAAAGAATGAGCTTATTTATCACCTCCTTCAACTCCTGCTTGTGTCATTAGGTCTGCGATATTCTTTTCCAGGTCGTCTATTCTGTTACCCATTTCATCTAGTATTTCTTATTAAGGATCTTATAATAATTATATATTTGTAGCAACTATATTAATACTATAAATAAATATATGTTAACTTTTATGATTAATGCTATAATAAATAAATAAATATATGTTAGCTTGTATAATATTTAATTCAATTAATAATCAAATAAAGAGTGACATGAATACAGTTAAAAAATTAATATAGTTGAGGATTTTATATACAAACAATACACATATCAGGTTCTTTTTACCTAAACTTTTGTGACTTTCTTGAATGGCTTGTCTTTTCTTTTTTTTCAACATGAAAAAAAAAGGAGATAAATCATGCAAGAAATTCAGCTAAAAAGAACAGATTTATTAATCTCTTATAAACAACTAGTTGGAATATAAAAGCATATGTCAATAAAACTTTGAAGTCACATAGACACAAAGTTGCCTTCCTAATTATTGAAATTAACAAAAGCATGACTCGTAAAAAAAACAGTTATATTACTTTTTACTACTTACGTTCAGAGATAAATAAACTACTTGGCAATACAGCAAAAAACTTGACGTGCACTAATAGAGACAACCCCAGTTACATGATACTGTGTGACAAAACGTCAACACAGATTTTTCCATAAACGCCGCTTCAACATCTTGCAGCACCATTTTAGGTTAAGCATGAAAAAAAGGATATTTCTTCCTATGATCTGGTCAGACATGGTTTGAAACTTGTCCTGCATGTTCTGCAACAGCGTTTGCACCTGCAAAGGAGTCAACGTAGCGTCAGGGTCACGTCGCGACGGATCGTCCCTGGATGCGTCACCGTCATCCTGTGCGTAAATACGCGGACTCACGTATTGCGTCAGCTCCTGCATGTTCTTCGGGTCGGCGCTGTTGCCCATCCCATAGCTGTCGACGTCCTCGCCCTTGTGATCCTGTTTGACATCGGCCATCCTCGACGCTTTAACCGGAGGGGGAGGAAACGAGGGTTAAAGCTCGGCTCGTCCGGTCCGGTCCAACGCAATGGATCCTCCCGAGCGGACGCTTGCGACGACGCCGTATCTAGTTATCTACCCGCCGTGTGCTCGCTCACGGTCTTTGGTGTCGATCGGTGCTAAGCACCGTCGATTGATTCAACAACATACTCATTTCGATTCCCGACGACGTCGCCGGTATATAATGAATGACGTGGAAACCCGGAAATTGAATTTTCAAATGTTGTCTCTTTTTTATTGCACAAATTTTATTGCAAGTTTTTACTTTAATTAGAAATTTTTTTTTAAAACCAAGATTTTCGCTTGCAATATTAGAAGTAAAAATTTAGTAAATTGAACACCAGTTTGTACAGTAAAAAAATATTTTTTATCAAAACTCTGAAAAAAGATAATTCTCCATGGCTATCGCTCATTGTACTATATTTTTATTGTTTACAATTATTTTTGTAAAAATCTTTTGGATGAACGCAAAAACTTTAAATTAATTTTAAACAGTAATAATGTATTTATGTCGCCATATGTCCAAAGAAAATAAATATCGGAGTAAATAATTTTCAAGACTAAACCTAAGCAGAACAACAAGTTATTATGATATCAAAATGAATTAATAAAACATTAAAGGTGGCTTAAATAACAAAATATAAATAATAAGGAGCATATATAAGCCACAGCACAAGATGTTGTCGTGAAGTCATATATTTAAAATTTTAATAATAAATAATAAGTAGACGTTCGGTCATTTGACTATCCTCAGTATAATAAAATTATAATTAGATGTTCCGTATAATTAAAATAATAAATAATACGCAAGTACAAATTTGATGTTAATAAATGAATAATTAAAAAACAAAAAGTTCAAAATTGAAAATGTCATGTTTACAATCGTCATTATAGATAATATCCTGATAAAAATTACGAAACGTTCAATATCACCTGATATCATTCCTTTCTATACTTCAAGTATTCAATATCACCTGATATCATTCCTTTCTATACTTCAAATATAGAAAGGAATGATATCAAGTGATATTGTATGTTTTGTAATTTTTATCAGGATATTATCTATAATGACGACTGTAAACATGACATTTTCAATTTTAAATTTTTTGTTTTTTAATTATTCATTTATTAACATCAAATTTGTACGTGCGTATTATTTATTATTTTAATTATACGGAACATCTAATTATAATTTTATTGTACTGAGGATGGTCAAATCTTGACCAAAACGTCTACTTATTATTTATTATTATTGAAATGTTTAATATATGACTTCACGACAACATCTTGTGCTATGTGGCTATACGCTCCTTGTTATTTATATATCAAAATGACTCCAAAATAATTATTAAAAATGATTTTTCAATCACTTCCGATTTATTTTAATATTTTGACGTTATTGTTTGATTTGTTGTTCTGTTTGGAAAAGTAAAGAACTGATTTTTACTCGATTTTTGACTCAGATTTTTTATCTTTACTCCCCATACAACAGAAAATTTGCAGCAATATTGCAACTTTTGTGCTGTAAGGGTTTTGATCATGCTGTGGACGAAAAAGCAAAAATTTACATTTAAAAGTCAAATAAATTAATATATACTAAAAATTTCCTTAAAAAGTTTCGTTTATACTTTTGTTACTCTTGATTTTTATTTTACCAACGTGCAACACGTGTGGATTTATGTAAATTTATAGATTTACAATAAGAAAAAAACATATGCTTGTCACGTGTGTACATTATAAAGAAACTAGAGCTCATTTTTAAATTAACCTTAAATAAAAAGAATAAATTATATGCTGGCGAAGGCAATTTAAAACGTGACATATACGAGGCTTCCGCAATTTATAGGACGTCATACGATTGATGAATCATATTTTATGCTCTGTATTCAAACTTGTTTGTCTTTGACTCTATCCTGACGCAATTGACGCTTATTTCAAAATCGGCAATAGAACTATAAACTGACCATAAATCTGTTTGTTTCAACTTTTATGTCCTTGTGCGTTTTATTTCACACAAAACAAAGCATCTCGGAAAAAAGAATAATAAAATCTAATCTGAAACGTAATCTGTTTACGTAATTGGAACAACGAAATTCGTGTTTTCTCTTCTTCAACGTCATTGAATTCGCGTTTATCGATAATTTAAATCGCTCCGTCTAATAACATGTTTTTCAAAGATGCGAATACAGGAAGAGGCAATTACGATCGATAGAACAGTCGCTTACGAAAGCGTGCCAATAGAATAATACTTTTTGTCTTCGTCCGTCGCTTCGATTGGCTGTCGCTGATCACGAATGTCGTCTACTTCGACGCATGAGGCGATATCAGCTGATTATTGTGACTGGAGCAAACAAACAGTAACGAGCAAAGGATATTTCTGTTTTGTTAGATCAAGACGGGACGGAAGAGCAATTGTTCGCCGAGTAATAGCTGAGTTCATTTAATTTCCAAGATATACGTATTTCTTTTCTGCGAGAATCCGTCTGTCGTTTTAAAATCGTAGCCGCAACAAACAATGCGCCTGGCAGCTCTCCTGAGCGTGATAATTGTTCTCTCGCTCACCATGCAACTGGTGAGACCCTGGCACGCCAAAACCAAACAAATATCACCCGTTATTTTAGGTAAGTCAAAAAAGCGTCTTATTATTGTCCATACACATCATACTTTATCTGAGACACCTTGGTATCCTTAAGATGTTCAGGAAGGACATAAAGACGTCCTCTGGACGTCTTTAGGATATTCCTTGGAGGTCCGTGATGTGTGTGTATGGGATATTTTTAAAAGCAAAGCGTTCGCTCGCCGAAAGTTATCATGACCCTTTCTGTCTGCACTTTAGGGGTCAAAACGGCTCTGAAGTGCCGCTTTGTATGATTCTCTCCTTTGATGATCTGACTCTTATCGTAGTGTCATAGAACTTCGGAGATATCGACTTATTGAGACGTTGCGAAAAGCACGTCTACTTACGAAGGAAAATGATATTCCAGTTCCAGGTGATGGGGGCAGTCAGGTCGAGGCAAGGATTAACAAGTCATCAGTGGTGCATTATATCTGCGCAAAAATATCCGACGATTATTTTAACTTATGGCTGAACATGGAACTGCTTGTACCTGTCGTGATAGACTGCTTTGTACGATCATTTTGATTTACCATGCATAACTCTAGTCTTTTTCTAGTTGAAATAATTTGAAAGTAATTTTTAATCCTATTACAGATAGATAATCTTAAATTGAACTATGATAATGTGACAAGGACCACTAGTAATCAGCCTGGAGTAGATATAAGGATACCGGGATGGGGTAATCCATTTGTAGTTGAATATATAGATCCCAGCAGGGCCTCGCCAGGCTCGTATTTCAAGGACATTGGAAATATGCTGGTAAACGATTTAGGATACATCAGGAATTTATCGATACGTGGTGCACCTTACGATTTCAGAAAAGGACCTAGTATGTAGAAAGACGATATCAATAAATTGTTTCATACAGGCATTACATGCTAGCATTTAGTATCATATATTTTATTTGATTGTACTACAAATTTACCGAGATAAAGACCTTAAACTGCAGGTGAAAATGAAGAATTCTTTACTAAATTGAAAACTTTAGTCGAGGAAACGTATATAATGAATAATAATACGCCAGTGACGCTACTGGTTCACAGCATGGGTGGACCTATGACTCTTATAATGTTACAACGTCAAAGTCAGAAATGGAAGGATAAATACATAAATGCCTTTATCACACTTAGTGCTGTATGGGCAGGATCTGTCAAGGCTATTAAAGTATTTGCCATTGGTAAGCATATCAATCTTATTTATATAATCTTGTTTGCCTGCAATCATTAATAATCAATGCAATCATAAAAAAGAATTATTGATAAATTAGCAAATAACTTGAATTCAGAATAGTATAATACAAATTTTTCAATTATTATCTTGTTTTATGAGATATGATGCTTTACATACATATTTTTTTGTGTCTAATACAGGAGATGACTTAGGTGCATATTTTCTTCGTGAAAGTGTATTAAGAGACGAACAGATAACGAGCCCAAGTCTAGGATGGCTGTTACCTTCAAAACTACTTTGGAAAGACACAGAGATTTTGGTGCAATCGAATCAGAAAAATTATACGTTGAGCAATTTACAACAATATTTTATGTACAGTGGATTATTTAGACAATTATTGTATATCTGCTGTATTGTCTGCAAATATTTTTAAAGATATTTTCATTTACAGAGACATAGACGTTCCTAACGCTTGGGAATTCAGAAAAGATAATGAAAAATATCAATTGGATTTTACGACACCAGGTGTTGAAGTACATTGTTTATATGGCAACAAAGTGGACACAGTAGAAAAGTTTGTATATATATGTAATATTTTGTTTTATTTATATTCATAGTAAGAGAAGTTTAAAATTCGTATTTTTGCAGGTTGTATTATAAACCAGGTACGAGTATAAATGGTTACCCTAAATTAATAGTTGGAGATGGCGATGGAACGGTGAATATAAGGAGTTTGGAAGCATGCACACTTTGGCATAAATCACAAGTACAAAAAATTTATAATCAAAGTTTTCCTGGAGTAGATCATACTGAGATCTTAAGAAATCCTGATGTTTTGGCATATATTAAGGCAGTTTTAAAAGTATAATATGATTTTTATTAGTAGTTTTAATGAGATTCAAAAGAATGACAAACAGAATTTAGTGACGTCATATATTCTTGTAACATTTTTTGCTCTTGCTACCGACGAGATAATAGTATTTTGTCGGTGCTAATCTTGATACGAATTAATATTAAAACTTCAATATAAAATGATTTTAACAAGATTAAAAGATTTCACTAATTTCATGAAGTAAATTTATTTCTTGATAATTTATTGATTAAAAAATACAACAGCGTAATTGAAAATATATTTTTATTAACTACATTGTTCATTAAAATATATCATTACATAACATAGCAGCAAATATCAATTGGGAATATTATAAAGTGGTGCAGTTACAAAAAACATTTTCTAAATGTCAATACTTCCACTCATTTACTGGCATATAGCCATGCTCTCAGCCTATAAATATAATACTTTTATCTCCTCCTTATGTGTACATATTTATATATTCAGTATATATTATCAATTTTTATATTGCATGATCTCACATGAAACAAAGAGTGATCAGTTTAACATGACTAGCGATATACAGTAATAATATGCTATATATAAAGTGTTTCTATATTGTATAGTAACATATTTTTTTAGTCGCTGATGCAGCACAATTAGAATAACAATGAAATTCAAGTTTCTTAAGTTACTAGTCATAAATTGATATTATAAATATATACTGATGTATTTACCGATATATATATCGATATATTTACACTGACTCATAATTGTGATGAATACTCATAAAATACTCATAAAATACTAAAGAAATTTAATGTAAAAAATATTCTCTTAAGAAATCTGGAGACATGGTAGTCTCGCCGCCAAGCCAAGCAGTGACATTACCGTATTTCCTTACGCGAACCGATGATATTAATAAACGTTGATTCTAAAATGTTTACAATTTTAAAATTTTCTTATTGTAATACACAATATGTATATACAGTAATTTATATTTTTTTTGTATAAATAAGTCCTTATATTTTAGTAAATATATGGATTTATAATAAATATATTTATCAGCACATTAAATTTCTACAAAATTACATTCATGTATAAAATGAAAAATATTCTACATAAAATGTAGTAAGCAATCGATATAATATTCTTTTGATATCTAATGTCATCAAATCTGATAAACTAGACAATACATAATTACATATATATTTCTAAGATAAAACGGTATATTATAAAGATGATAATAAACGAATGTTGTTAAAAAATAAAATGTTTTTATTATTGATCACATAATGGTTAACTATCATAATTTTTCTTTGCGAATAATTATAGATAAAATTCTTCCTAATCACAGATGATAACAACGTAATTATAATAATAAATATTACGTACGAAACATTTTTATATACATTTTATCTATTTGATATCCCATTTAGGTCCAAACCTTCAGTAATTCTGAATATTTGAAATTGCTACTTTTTTTCTATAAATTTTCATATATTTCTAATTTTTTAACATATAGTAAAAAGTTCATGTTAGCCTCCAGAACACAGCATAAAGGCAGCATAGGAATGCACAAGATTCTGACTCATGTGTCCTAGAACAGATTTTTGCTCAAATACTGACAACCAAACCTTTCAGTTATTCCTAACAACACATACTCCTTGCTTCATTTCTTTGGTGCTTGCTTTTATACAATTTTTTAATCTTGTTTCAAATCGCAGCGTGTATTGAAGAAGTGGAGGGTTTCTGCTTTAGAAAATATGTAAAAATTCTAGTTTTTTTACAACAAATAATATCTCTTAATGTCAGTTAAGCCCTGTCGAGGATCTTATGAAAGCATATATTCCCAAAGCTAAAATAGTTACAACAGTAATGGTTTTATAACTTCTAATACGATAAGATATCCTTGGTGTTGCCTGAACAATTTTTAATTTTCGTTGTCTTTCTCTCTCTTGTCGGCTTGCTTCTGCCTTTGCCTTCCATTCTTGCTCTTTAATTTTTCTCTTATGATCATAATCTCTGACATCATTACTGATAGATTCAGGAGGATATTGTCGATATAGATTCTTTGCTTCTACTAAAAGGGTTTCAAATGGCAAGTCGTCGGGTAACTAAAAACATAAATTTGAAATAATTCTATTGTCTTTCTTCGATTCTTCAGAGCCAATTATTTTCTTTTATTATACTCACCGTACATAATACTTTATGTGTGTGCCCCATGTCGGGCGTAGTATTAAAAATTTCTGTAGCTCTGTGTGCCACAATTACTGTACTTAAATAGAGAGGCATAAGTGGGGGGCTACCCAGGAAAAAATCAAATAATCTATGTAACAATTTTCGGTTTTCTGCAAACTTGTGTGCGTACCATGTTGTGTATTCAGCCAAAGCAAAGTGTGGAAACAGTTCTACACTAGAGTAAAAAGGAACGTTGCTATTAGTAATGAAATTATTAATACCAGCAAGTTTATAAAATAAAAATTAATTAAAACAAAAAAATATAAGATTTAAATAATTTATATGTATATAGAATATTATTAAATTAATATAAAATAGAAGTTTATATTTATTAGTTTATTTAGAATAAATATAAAAATAAAAAGTTTAAGATATGTTCTTAATGAATAAGAAAAGACTAACTTTTCTAAATGTTCCAAAAGCGTAGGATGTACTCTTTCCAGCAATGCAAATATAAAGAATAACTCTTGATTCACTTTTTCCATAGTTTTTTCCATGAATCTTTCCAGGAATTCTAGCGAGATACTTTCAAGTACATACAAGCCTGCTTGTAATCCCATCACAACCAATACAGTTGCTGCCACATCATTATATCCCTGGTAGTAACTAAGTACAAATTATTTCATTTTATATTATAATAAAACATAAATTATATATAATATACATATATATATATATATATATATATAAGTTTATTATAAATTAATAATAAAATATTCACGTTTAAATATACTAACTTTAATTGGGAATGTCTATGAAGTACCCAACACATAAGTTGAGTTAACTGCTCTTGAAAATTTTCCGTCTCCTTTTCTGTTGCGCTCTGTGAGACATGACTACCGCTACGTGCCACATCCTTCAATATCTGCTGATAAATCTCGTTTGGTATATAAGTATGTATAGTTTCTAGTCCGTTAATGGATGCAGGTTCCAATTGTGCCAGTCGCAAAAGTTTCGGCCACAGTACCCTTCGTACATCATCTACAGATCATCCTCATGATTTCAAGACTTAGTTACAGAGAACAAAATTATTCTCAAAAAGGAACCATTTTAAGTACATAAGCGATATTAGCAAACTAGCACTTGGGATACTATCTGTATCTAAAAACTACAACAATAATCATGTAGAAGACCAAAAACTGGAAAATTCTCTTTCAACAAAATCCCAAAGAACGAAATTATCAGTTTATGAAGGTTCCTTGTTGATCATAATTGACGTCACCTGGGCAAAGTACCATTAACGAAACCCTCGCTACTGCAGCCAAGTAGTCTTAGCTCTCCTAACGTGAGATCCGGATTGGCGATGCTGCCACGGATCACGCTCATCTTCATCCTCTCGCGGCTCGTGAGGATGTCCGTCATACCGTGGTCATCCTCGTGAGTCAGCACACCATTCCGCTGTTTGCCTGCTGTGGCCACGTCGGCGAGATCTGGTATCTGCGGCGTGACGCCGTCGTGCCACGCTTTCGTGGAGTCGGACAGGATCACGAGGGGCACGCGGTCGTGCAAGTCGGTTGTCACCCAGCTGTCTGTTTTTGTTGAGAGACTCGCCGGCGACGCCGACTCAGGCACGTTCCTTCTGCGTACTTTGTTGTGGTTATGATTCTCGGTTGACGTTGACGCTTCCGTCGAAGATTGCATCAGGGACACCTCTTCGTTCTCGGCCTCCATAATTTCGCGGTGTCGAGATGGATTTACGCCAGACACGCTAGTACGCGTGTCATAACACTGATAATTTAATTGGAACTCCCGAAAATTCTTCCAATTAATGGATCGCAGCTGATCCGTCAGGAATGACAGCAAATGGCACACTAGAGACGCCAGTTGGACAAATTGGTTGCTGTCATAGCTCCGTAGTTCGTATGTATGTACAGCTATGTATATAACTATATTAAAAATCAACATTAATTTAATTTATGGAGGTTCCAAATCAATTTACGATTTATTATATCATGTTTTATATTGTTAACTATGTTTGATCATTATTTATGCATAATAACTATTAAAAAAACAATTCAATTCATATTGGTAATCCTATAAATATTTATTCATGAAGCATGTATAATAATATATTAATAAATCATTTAATTTAATCTGTATTATAATATTATAGATTGATCAAATATTTATATTGATAATATTAAACTCTTCAATTATCTCTAGACTCATCGGATTGTGATTTAAAATGCTAAAAATAAATGCAATAAGATCATGTATTTTGGTTTAATCTTCAAAGTTTCAGATGTATCATAAATGTGTCCAAAGTTTCAGATGTATCCTAAATGTAATTTTTAGAATTAAAAAAAGATAAAAAAATAAGTTAAATGAAAATTAAATAAGTTATATTCTATACATATATTGATAGAAGCGAGTATAAAAGTAGAAAATAATTTAAAATTAAGTAAGTCGATCGATAAATTTTAAATTTCTGATACCTGCAACTGATTTGACTGACAAATTTTTGATAAAGTTTGCAGCAAATCGCCTGCAGAGAGCAAGACTTATGCCTCGATCGATATGACGAGAATGACGATGAGGGACACGTCACCACACGTTTCCACACTGACGCTTTTTACGCATGCGTACCATTTGTTTTTGACTGTTTCCGTCATCTCCATCGTCCGTCAAGTGACAATCCTCGTGAACAATTGTCCACCCGGTTACATCGTCTAGCTGTTATTGAAAATGTCGGGAAAGTCTAAAGCATTTACCAAAGAGGAGGAGCTACTGTTACAAGACTTCTCCAGGAATGTGTCGACAAAATCCTCGGCGTTGTTCTATGGCAATGCTTTCATCGTATCGGCGATACCCATTTGTGAGTGTAGAAATTTGTGAAGAGCACTGAAAAATACTCCTTTCATCATTTTTCTCTATTACATTATGCAATTAGATTCCTGCTGTATAAAATTTTATGTTTTCTGATTTACTATCTGATTTAAGATACAGTTAAAAAGTTGAGATTTGACAGTTACGTCTTAGAATTTAACGAATATTGTATAACAGATTCTATAATATTCTTATATATTTTTGTATATAAAACTTGTTTATATACAAAATATTATGTTTAATTATATATTTATGATATTTGTGTGTGAATAAATTATCTAATATATAAAAAATAGTATAGACAGATGTTTCTATTCAATAATTTCAGTAGAGCGATGTTTTTAGTTTCTATACAGAAAGAGATTCATATTTTTAAAAAATACATTTTAATTTAAATAATTATTTAAATTAGAACATATTTAAGTCAGAATTTGTTTTTATACATATTGATATATATATATATTATATCTTGGTCTAATTTTAATAACATAATTTAATATCTCCAGTATATCTTTGTTTATTTTAAATCTGATATTTAATATATATTGAAAATAAATATTACATGAATTCTTTATTAACTATATTTTATTTTTTTACAGGGTTGTTTTGGAGAATACATTTGATCGATTTATACTCTAACCTGATCTCTTTTGTATTGGTTACATTGGCGAGTACATACGCCCTTGCCCTAGCATATAAAAATACAAAATTCATTCTTAAACACAAGGTATGTTCTACGTGAATTTAGGAGATGGTTATTTATTTTTACTAAAGCACAAAAGTGTTTATTAAAATAAATAAATCATTTTTTTTTATAATTTACAACTTTAAGAAATTTCTTTTGATTTTTATTTCAAAAGAGTCCATATTGATCACAAAGAAAAAGTAACTTTGATAAAATCGGTTGAAACCGTGATATTTTGTAGATTACAAGATCCTGATTAAAAGTTTTCTTAGGCAAAACCATAAAAAGTGAACAGATTTTACTATAGCATCATTTGATTAGTGCAGAGTCCTTTGTTGAGAACTTGTTGAATAAGCCTAAGACCTAAGAGATGATGTACTATGTAGGAATGATGAGAATATAATTTTATATATGCATATGTTTTATACAGATTGCAGTAAAAAGGGAAGATGCTGTAACTAAAGAAATAAGCCGTAAACTCGCAGAAGACAAGAAGATGAGCAAAAAAGAAAAGGACGAAAGGTAATTTCAATTTTTTCCGAAACAAATGGCTGATCAATTATGCGAATGGTATATAATATTTCCTAAGTAATAATTTTGACACAATTGAATATAATAAAAAGTGTATCGTACCTTTTGCAAAATATTAATTTATATTATATTTAAATATCTAGGATCTTATGGAAGAAGAATGAAGTGGCAGATTATGAAGCAACAACATTCTCAATTTTCTACAATAATGCCCTTTTCCTGGCATTCGTCATCGTATCTTCGTTTTACATTTTAAAAACATTCACACCTGCAGTAAACTATATACTTTCTGTAGGCGTTACTAGCGCATTCCTAGCATTATTTTCAACAGGATCTCAATAATATATGCTATGAACCCATGTATTCTGCTAATTTCATAAGAAACCTCCATCAGTTCGATTTACCTTTTGATATGGAATAATCATCGATAATAAAAAATTCTATTTATGAAATCATCTGTTGTAAATTATTTGCTATTTCCGGACAACTTTGTTAACATTTCTAAGTTATAAGCAATTAAAAAATTGTTCTTGTTAAGTAGCAAATAGAGCTATACATTTGTTAACATTTTATCTTTATAAGGGCGACTTTGACCAGACTGATTAACTTGAGCGGTGATAAATTCAATGAAATTACAGTAAAATTGTAAAAATTTTTCTAATTTAATCTTACGTTCCAAAAAATATGTCAAAAATTAATGATTCTATTCATTTAAGTATAGATATTACTTGATAAGCTAATCGCCGATTAAATTAATCAGAATTTTGTGTACATTATCTTAAGCAATATTAATTTGTAATATAGTATAATAGATGTAAATTACATTATCAACAAGACAATTATAATTTTATTATAATTATTGTTATAAATAGTTATAATGTGAGTGTGTGCGTATGCGTGTGCGTGTGCATCGTTATTATGACAGTTATCTTGTAACCATTATTGCGTGAAGTTATTATGACAGTTATCTTGTAGCCATTATTGCGTGATTTATCTCTTAAAAAAATGTTATTTAAAAAAAAGTGAAGTTATAGCTATTTACCAGTTAATATGAAGTTTCTAGAAAGATGTATAAATTATATCATATTAAAGGATTATTTAAGTGGAGTCGAGTGTTGTACCACTTATCTTGGGGAAATCGTCGGAAATATGGGACAATAAATCTAATACTATTATCTAATGCTATTATTGATAAAAAGTTATTAAATAAGACGTCGAGAAAGCAACAAGAATTGTATTATTGAAATATGTAACTTTGAGAATTTCAAGCAACTAGTAAACGACGGAGAGTCCGCGATTCATAATAATCATTTTGTTTCCTGGATTTGAATAACATGCTTCAAGTAATATGTATTTAAATAACAATACAGTTATTGTTCTTAATTTCTTTTGATATCTTAATAACCTTTTATCAATAAATTCAATTGTTTCTCAATAAATATAATTATTGTCTAAATGTGATTATTGTCTTTGATTATGATTTCTCTTAACTTTTTCCCAAGATAAACAATACAGTACTTAACTTCATTTTAGTACCAGTCCTTAAATATAATATATAATTTATACATTTCAAAATTTTATGTTAGCTGGAAAACAACTAAAACTTAATATCCTTTCATAAAAATGTTTTAAGAGAGTAAATTGATATTTCACACAGTAGTGACTACAAACCATTAACGATAATAACTAAAAATATGTATTATAAATTATATTTACAAATAGACATTTTGTATTTTGTGTTAATTAAATTAAATGTGTTTTAAAAAAAGATGTAAGCTTGAATTTTTCTATTAACTCTTAATAATAAATATATTCATGATATCTATCAATAATATTATAATATGATATCAATGATATTTTATATTTATGACATCATTTCACACTTAGTATTACGTTAAACGTTCTATAATAATCAAGTAAAAAATTTCTATTTTAATGTATGATTTATTTATGATGTAATTAATATTTATACAACATTTACCTACATAAAACAATCTAAAAACCTGGATTAAATTAACAATATTAATTGATTTATGAACATCGGATCCTTGTCAATTATTTGATAAGTATTATTGTCAGATAATAATAGTTCCATTTTTTCAATATAAATCTGTCCTGTCTAGTATAATCGTGACATTTCCCTCTACTTTCGTAATCAATTCATTAAGATGATCCTCAATAAATTCATTGGTAACTTTCATGCATTTCATTGCATATTTTTCACTAAAATTGTAAGAACCGTTTTTAAAATCTATTAATGATGGGTACAGACTTCTGACTTTGCTAGCAATCTGATTCCTACATCCTGTGATATTTTGTTCGATGGGTTCTATATGAACTCAATCGTAGTTCTTTCTTTATGAAGTTCATTAATAGGCAAGCCAAATCTATCGCCTAATTGTAATAAAGCTGATACTTCATGTGGAATCTATGTACTGCTTAGATTGACAAGCCATTTGTTCTGTAATTCGTTAAGCCCGGACTCGGAATCAAACACACTAGCTGTAATAGAGATATTAGAAACCTCACCCGAAAAAGGACACGTATAGTCATTGACAGAAGGAGTTTCAGGTTTTAATTTAAGTTCAAATTCATTAAGTTTTAATTAGAATTCGAATTTTTTTGTACTGAATAAGGTAGGTCTAATTTTAAGTTTTTCTGTACTACGCTGTTTTTTAATTAGCCAATCTGTCTGTCAACTCTACTCATTTCCCTCAACTGAAAATGATAACTATATTTTTTTCTTGAAAACAAAAAATGCATCTTGAATAAAGGTATATGTTAGAAATGACCCTTGAGATTTAAAAAATTTGAGTTCTATTGCAATTTAAATGATTATAGGCATCACTCAATTTTAAATGCAACACAGATTTCATATGTTTTGGACGCATAGAGTTCAATCGTTTTTTTTAATTATAATGAAGATTGATGTTATATATTCCAACATTGTTAAGATGTGAAGGAATTAAATCGATTTCAAATACGCCTGTATAAATCTAAATCTATTATTCGATACTTTTGTAATTTTGCGAACTTTTTTATTTATATAATTTTCTGTTACTGAGGATGACTTAATGAGGGTCGAAACGTTTAACTTTGTATTTAAATTATTGTAAGATTAAAATTCATTTATTAGCATTTAACATTCTGCATTAACTCGTAGCCTTTATCATTTAATTTGTTTTAATATAGATATTTATTTTGTTGATATTGAAACTATTGAAAGTCATTTTCGCTAATTGCCTTTTTGTAAATGATTGTATATAATACATATACATTTGATCAAATAAAATTTAAACAAAAGTTATTAGAGGTGGCTTGTTAACATAAAACATAAATAAGAAGGAGCATTTGGATATCCCAAGGACGTCCATTTTAAGTCCAAATCACGTCCGCACGTCCATGGACATAAAATAAACATTCTATGGATGTCCGAATTTGGATTTTACTTTTACTAAATGTTTTTCTTTATATTTTTATTATATTCGTATTATTTACCGAACCAAGAACCAACAAGTATTAAACAACATACTTTTTATATATCTTATATAATATCATATTAATAATATTTTCCAAATAAAATTAGTTAATTCCAAAAAATTGTAATTCTTATTTTTATGAAACACCCAATAATTTTAAATATTTTTAATCAAATTTAAAATTGAAGACACACTTGCTGCAATATTGGATTAACTCATATTTGGTGAAAGCGGAGAAAATAAATAAGACAGTCAGAGGATGATACAGCATATATTCCAATAAACGTATTATCATATAGTACGTGATTACTAATATTGCAGCAAGATCTTCAATTGAAAAAGATGTCCAAAGTTAGTCCATAACACGTCCATAATAGATCCAAAATTGGATGTGAGAACATCCTACGGACGTACAAAGTTATGACAAATGTACATCCCATGGACGTCCATAGGACGTTCGACGGACATAATTTGGACTTCCTATGGAACGTCCCGATGCCCAGAAACGGATGTTCAATGGACGTACAATGGACGTCCTTATGCTATCTGGGTACAGCCACATACGCAAGGTGTTTTTCGCACAAGTCATATATTTAAATACATGTAATTTATTTTAAATATATGCTTGTGCGAAAAACACCTTGCGTATATGTAGCTGTATGCTTCTTCTTATTTATGTTTTATATTTGATCAGTTTTGTGAATTATTGTAATTATGATTAATTATATATTCAAGCGCGTACATTTTTTTATTCGGTATTTGTGTGTGTGTGTGTGTATCTAATATTAAATTATTTAATGATCGTTATTGTATGCTATAAGCAATTGTCAACCAAAAAAACATATATTTTAACAACTCAGCAGTTGTTAACTCGCTTTACCGGCAATGCACCGATGCGGGATCTATTAAAATGCGTTGATTTTTTCGTGAATTTTAAAAAGGTGAATAGATAAGTTCAGTAATCCATTTCACCTAAAATACTTAGTAATGTTGAGATTGCATATGTATATATGTACGAAAACGCCAGTGCCCAATTGTTTGTTTCGTTGCAAGGACTAATAGAAGTCACGCCTATACCCTCAACGATCTATGTTGCAGATCGCGTAAGATTTTGTGCAAATAAAATTTTAATTCCTCTTTACATATTTTTGATATTAATTTCAATAAATATATATATATATAAAGATTTTATTTTTAAAATAAATTTTTCACACTCAACAATATAACTGTAATATAACACACGTGTTATATTGTAATCATATTGTTGAGTGGGAAATTACATATAAAGATTATGCGTTTCGCTGGTTTTCTCCGTGTCTGCAGATCCATTCTTGGTATGCCAACGTTTCGTGAACCTTGCAGTCCACTTCATCAGGGCAAAGAGCAGCCTGATACTGGTATCAGGTTGCTCCTCACCATGATGAAGTGAACTGCAAGGTTCACGATACGTTGGCATACCAAGAATGGATCTGGCATATCAAGAATGGATCTCTTTTTGTGGAATAGGCCTCTTGGGGAAACCACATTAAAAAAAAAACGCATCTTGCAATAGTAAATCACGGATAACGTGGAAAGCTATTGTCGAAATGTACGTTATCATAATTATGTAATGTATTAGAAAATTACGTTAAGATATAAGTATATCGTTAAAGAACAATGAATAAATTAACAATAGAAATTTTTATGTTAATAGCAACAAATTATTTAATAAAAAAAAATGTTTCAATCATAATTTGGTGGAAGATGCGTTCCTAATATATTTCTAGTATAGGGACGCTCCTGAGTCAGAGCGTCACGTGAGCGGTGGTGGGGGTCACTCGCAGGAATCAGCTCGAAATGTGCAAATCTTTGCGAACACTGCATTAAAAATATATGTTTAATGTAAATAATTTAATTTAAAACGAATTAAATCATAAAATTTTCAATATATTTTAT